ATGTGGAATGTGGGATGATAGATAGATCCAGATCTCTCCCTGGTATCTTGGTAAGGGAGATTATTTTTATGAATTACACCCAACCACTTGCTGCAGAGAACACAAACTGGGGCCACATGAATTGGCTTTCCTACAGCTGATGTGGTAGCATAAACAGAAAAACACCGCACCACCATACAGTTGCTGAAGTGGAAGCCCTTTGCAGTTTGTTTAGCGAATAAGCAGGATTGTTTTTCTCATTTTCCCCTCTCTCTCTTTCAATCATCTCCCAGGTCTCTTTGGTCTGGTGAACAATGCAGGTTTAGGCAGCTCTATTGGCCCCACGGAATGGATGACCGTGGAAGACTACCGCAAAGTCATGTCTGTTAACACTTTTGGAATGATCGAGGTATCGTTGGCCTTCCTGCCATTGCTCAAGCGAGCGCGTGGACGAGTAGTCAATGTTTCCAGCGTCTTGGGGCGGATTTCAGCCAACGGTGGTGGCTACTGCGTTTCCAAATACACAGTGGAGGCCTTCTCTGACAGCCTCAGGTAGGTGGGCTTGATGCACGCTCATTCCTCAGGTCCACAATAGCCTTCCGCAGTCTCCCTATTGCCTGCTCTTAGTGTAACAATTATTGTTATTAAAACGGATGTCTTATGCCAGTGTTTCTCAACCTTGGCCACTTGAAGATGTTCGGACTTCAACTCCCAGAAATCCCCAGCCAGCGAATGCTGGCTGGGGAATTCTGGGAGTTGAAGTCCGGACATCTTCAAGTGGCCAAGGTTGAGAAACACTGTCTTCTGCTAACCAGATGTGGGTTGCTCCCGGTTCGGCCCAGTAGTGGAATTCAGAACCGCTACCAGTTCTGCAACCCAGGCCTGCCGCACCCCCAAACTGGTTCCTTTGCCACTGCTGGGCTGCCACCATTTTGATTTTTAGTGACTGCACATGCGCAGCTCACTGTAAATTGTTCTACACATGTGCAAAGAACAATTTACATTGAACAGCACGCGCGCACACAGCACGTGTTGAGGGCAGGTTGCAAACCGGTAGTAAAACTGGCAGAAACCCACCCTTGATGCCAACCCCCATGATAACTATTCAGACTGGGCTGTTTTCCCATTTTCAAAGATTTTATGGTGCCCATTGTTTCTTGAGAGATAAAGGTATCACGAAATAAGCATGTTGCTCATACATAATCCTTGTGGCAACAACCGACTACACCATTATTGGGGACTGAAGGAATATTATGGAAGCTTTACATATTAGTATAAAGAATATAATTCAACCTTTCACAATATTTTGGTGTGTTGTTTTTCCCCCCAGGAGGGACATGTATCATTTTGGGGTAAAAGTCTCCATTGTAGAGCCAGGCTTTTTCAAAACAGCCATGACTAATCTTGAAACGATAGAGGCCGCTCTGACGCACTACTGGGACCGAATGACTCCGGAAACCCAGCAGAGCTATGGTGAAGGTTTCTTTCGCAATTGTGAGTACTGATGCATTCTAGAATACAGGTAGAAGCAGGGAGGTAAACTACTCCCATTTGAAGCCATTTTCTGTAAAAAAAACAAAAAAAAAAACCCTTCCAAACAAATGCACCGTGGCCATAGCCGTATTGCAGGGTTTAAGGATAGTTATTGTTCCCATCTCCATTCTCAAAATACTAAAACCTGCCAAAAAGTGACTGAAATCATTCTGAAGAAAGGGGAAAAAACAACCTTTGAGTAGGCCTTGCTCCCATTTGCATCCTTACTTTTGCGTTTTAAGTAAAGCTTTCAAAATTTAGTATTTGGTTCCCAAATTTCAGTAGGTGCATAGCAACATCACTTAGATTTAGATACCACTTGAGTGCTTTACAGCCCTCTCTAAGCCATTTACAGTGGCAGCATATTGCCCCCAACAATCTGGGTTCTCATTCTACCGATCTTGGAAGGATGAGTCAACCTTGAGAGCTGGTCAGGATTGAACTCCTGGAGTGAGCAGTGAGTTAGCCTGCAGTACTGCATTCTAGCCACTGGGCCACCACGGCTTTTCAGCACGGCAAGTGCTAGTAGACCTTTGTATCTGCATATGCAATTTTCTACCTGTTCTAACACCATCGAAAGAATTGTGCAGATAAGCCTTACATCCCAGCAGTGATTTCAGTCAAATTTTGCAGTTTGCTAGTTAAATTCAGAACGGAGAACAGTTTTTCTTAACATGGTGCCCATCAGAAGAATTGAACTCCCACCAATTTATACTGTTGGGAGTATAAACATCTGCCCTTAATCAGTTGTCTTCAGACTAAAGATCATCTGATTGAAGACAGTTAATTTAGGTCTAGGAGAAGACAAGTGTTAGCTTGATGGGACCAGCTAACAAGCAGAGGAGTCAGTATCTTACATTAAGACAAAAGACATCCTAAAACAGTAACAGTAACCACTTATCAGGATAAGGTTAAGTATCAGGCAGAAAGTTTAATTTCTGATTATGTCCATCTCTCTGTAGACTTGAAAGTCCAAAAGTTCATCATGAACATCATCTGCGATTCTGATCTCAGCAAAGTGACAAACTGCATGGAGCACGCCCTTCAAGCTAAGCACCCCCGCTCTCGTTACAGTGCAGGATGGGATGCTAAGTTTCTGTGGCTGCCAATCTCTTATCTACCTTCCTTTTTGGTGGATATTTCCCTGGCTATCATCTTACCAAAGCCAGCTCAGCGGATGCACTAAAAGCTGCTCCCTCATGATCAAGCTTGAGGCCTAAATGTTGGCAGATCATACTCCTTGAAAGCTAATAAGAAATAAAAGGATTACTCAAAGAAAGCTGTTGTCTTGCCAGCTCTGGTTTCACAGGATGGTATGGAAACATTTCCATATCGTAATGTACTACTTGCTACTTACTATCTAGATGCTGAGGAATCATAAAGAACAGGGATATTTGGATGCTGAAGGGAAATGAATCGAGTAATCAGTGCCAACATAAAAGCACCTGACAAAAAGTGGGTACCATTTTTTTTCCAAGCATAAGCTTTTTTAGTGAGACTTTGAGGTACACATGACAGTACAGGAAAGGGCAATATTGAATCTTAATTGCAGCAGTGGGGGAAAAGGTTAAAGTAAAATCAGTATTCCAAATGGCAAAACACTTCACAGTTCATTGTCTTAACTCCAATCACATCACTGTTGCAGACTTTCAGAGGCAGAACTTGGGGAGACCTTGCAGGAAGTACTCCAAAAGACCTGGAGCTGCTAACTATTGTGGTAGATTGTAGATTGCTCAACAGTCCAACTTTCATGCATCCATACATTCTGTGGGGAATGTTAAAGCTATGAGTAGGAATCTCTATTGGATTTGTTTGTTGTAGAACACCCAAATATCCGAGAGCTCAAAGATGATCTCCAGACCATAATCTGAAAACCTTTGCTACCTTTTTGTATACATGTCCAAGTCGTCTATTTAGAGGAGGAATAGATACCAAAGGTTCATTAGGTGAATGTATGGCGAAGTGAAGGCATAAACGGATATTTAGGACAAAACCATTTCCCCAGAGTTCTCATGCTTTCCCAGTTTCAATCCTGATGGATAATGGATGATGGAAATTCATTAGGATTCAGTATGGCAGCTTGGGTTACATTCAACCAAAAATCTCTCAATTTTTTCACTGAGCCCAAAGGATGACCCAACAGCCTTTCTTTGACTCTGCTTCAGGCAAAAATAGTTCTTAAAGTTAGAATTCTATTTTTAGCTAGGCAGCTGTGTTAAAGGTGTGCGTATAATAACCTGATTTTTTAAAAATGCTAGCAAATCTAGCACAAATGTACTCCTACTTAGCAGCAACTGTTAAGAAAGGGCAACCAGGTACACAGAAATACTGATAGCAGATTGCTTCCGATGATTGGAGATCATCGGATTGGAGGCAAGAGGAAAAAAGATAGAACTTGCAATTCTCCACAATGGCTATCAGAGGGTGATTTGGGCACCATGGGAAGTTCCTTGTATAACCAGATTAATTTGATAAACATAATCTATTACTTACATTGAAATTTAATATGGCATTAGCTTCACTGAGAAAGGATAACTTTTAGAGCCAACTGAGATTGATGAGCCTTCTTTCATGGTGCTAATCTAGGAACATGGCTGTGACTGTCCTAAAAAGCCCAGGCAGGAAGTGGTTTAATAATGACCAAGAACTAAAGTCCTGTTGAAAGCCAAACAGAGGAAGGAGAAGAATAAAAGGAATGCAATTCAGAGTTCTCAATACAGGCAGTCCTCAACTTACAACCACAATTGGGACCAGAGTTTCCATTGCTAAGCAAGGTGGTGGTTAAGTGAATGTATGACCTTTTTTGCCACGGTTGTTAAGCAAAACTGGCTTCCTCCGTTAACTGCTCCGTTAACTGGCAAATGGCGATCCCATGTGCCTGGGATGCTGCAACCACCATTAATACATGCCAGTTGCCAAGCACCCAAATGTCAACCATGTGACTGTGGGGGTACTGTGATGGTTGTAAAGTGTGAGGACCAATTGTAACTTTTTTCAGTGCCACTGTAACTTCTAACAGACACTAAACCAATGGCTGTTAAGTCAAGGACTATGTGTAAAGGGTAAAAATACATACATCCACAACCAGAAACACACCCACCCCCGATCCAAACACATCCCATAATTCAATGTTAAGTAAGATCTCCTACATTTCTGGAGCACTGCAGGAGTTGTTTACAACTGATTACATCCTACGTTATTCCGATATTATATAAAGAAGCCATGGTCTACCAACCATCAACTCTTTACTAAGAGAGTCAGAGGATGAAGCAAAGCCAAAAAATGGTCAATGGAGAAAAGGCACCATACCTGTGGTGGGTTTCCATTTTTTTTTACTACTGCTTTGCTTGTGCGTGCACACACAATGCTTCTGTGCATACGCAGAAGCGTCCGGGCGGAACCTCCCGCTGCCGCCACTACTGCCTCACCCGATCCAGGCCAAACCGGGAACAACCCACCTCTGCACCACACAAATAAGTCACAACATGTGGGTGAAATAATATCTTTTATTTTCCAAATAGTGAATTACTGACTAAAAATATTAGCCCTGACAATTTTCCTTCTCATTATAACCTATATAGAATCAAGAGTTTACCTTTCCAAAGGAAAAGAGAAATATAGCTGAACACATAAGAAAGTCTACTTGAAAGGACTTGTAAGATAGAATAATGTCTTTAAAGATGTTGGCTCACATCTATTAAGGGCACTAGGAACATATCACCAGATGTCCACTAGGTGGCACACAAGTCTCACCTGAAGGATAATGCAAGGTCTAGGAGTTGCAGTGAGGTGCAAGGAATGGATTTAAAACCTGCCCATTATGGGAGAGGAAAGAGAGAGAGAGAGAGATAAGGCAACATATGAATCCTTTGAGGGCAGCATATATTTTTCCTAACAGGCAACAGAAGAAGAGGCATCCGCCCAACCCTGTCCCATTGGCACATGATGGACAACTGTATCCCCAGAAATGGTGATGAAAGTATTCCAGAGCTTTGTGATTGGGCCTCATAAGAGCCAGATGTACAGGAACAGAAACGGTTACATGACCTCATAGCCACTGCGGATTCCTTTCATGAGGCAACAGGCAAAAATGATGCCCAGGAGCTGGGGGGAAAATGAGAGAAAAGTTATTTAGCCCTGATGTTTTATTTAGAAATATCAAGACTGCTGCACTGTAGGAGCCACGGAAGTGCAGGGGTTAGAATGCAGGATTGCAGGCAAACTCCGCCCACAGCCATATACCTCTATAGTCATGTTTTAACTGTGTTTGTGTAAGTCTGCTTTTTTGTGGTGTGAAATTCACTTTTTCAAGAACACAAACCGGAACATGGCTACTAGCTTCTTCAGCAAAACAAAGATGCAGGTAAACAGGTTCCGAGGAGGACACGTTCCCACAAAACAGCAGCTTTTGTACCTCAAAGAAGGCAATGCCCAACGCAACCGCAGCCACGATCACGATGTGTTTCCGCAGCCAATCTTCTATTTTTTTCACACAACCCTGCAGGGAAAGAAAACAATGTTTGGAACTACACTCTCAAAAAACTAAAGCTGGAGCAGAAAATCAGGGTAGCATGATAGGCAAGGTTTGGAGGTGGGGAAAACTAGGAATAAGCTCCTACATGAACTAGGCCTCACTGGGCGATTTTGGTTTAGGCCAAGGATGTCTAGCCGTGGCCACTTTAACACTTGTGGACTTCAACTCCCAGAATTGCTCAGTCCACAAGTCCTGAAATGCCGAGGTTGGACAACCCTGGACTAGGCATATTCTCTAAGCCAGCGATAGCTAACCTTTTTGTCCTCGTGTGCCAAAAGCATGCGTGTGCGCAATAGCGTGCACGTGCATCACACCCATAATGCAATGTGTGTGACACCTCCTGTGTGCCCCGCCTCCTGCGCATGCGTGCGCCCCCCCATGCAAATGCGCACATGCCCCCCAGTTCCATTTTGGGCCTATCAGGCCACCCTGAAGCCTCCTGGGACCAAAAAAAAAGGCACAGAGAGCTGCCGCACACACCCCCATGCTCCCCCTGCCCCCCACGCATGCGTGGATAACTCCCCACACATGCATGCGCCTCTCCTGCATGTGCAGCAGAGACCCAAAAATCAGCTGGCCAGTGGGAGGCGTGCACTCATACGTGGTAGAGCTGAGCTAGGTGACAGCTTGTGTGCCCACAGAGTGGGCTCCGTATGCCACCTGTGGCACGCGTGCCATAGGTTTGCCATCATGGCTCTAAGTCTAGCTCACTTCACAGGGTTGCAGCAGGGATATTATTAGGGCAGATTTCCCTATGCTCTGCCTTTTACAAAGAGTTCAAGGCAACATGAATGAATACATATGCCACCCCAATCACTCGTCATACAAACCTCTTCGAAAGTATTCTCAGGCGTTGGATTTTTGGTACA